TCAATGGGGGGGAAAAGGGGGACATCTGTAATACTTTCAACAATAAGAATTTTTTTTTTTTTAATACATCTTTATTAATTTCAGAGAGAGGAAAGGAGAGGGAGAGAGGTAGAAACATCAATGATGAGAGAGTCACTGATCGGCTGCCTCCTGCACGCCCCTGACTGGGGATCAAGCCCGCAACCCGGGCATGTGCCCTGACTGGGAATGGAACCCTGATCGCCTGGATCCTAGGTCGACACTCAACCGCTGAGCCACATCCGGCTGGGCAAGAATAAATTTTTAAAAAAAGAATGCCTGCAAAATAAACCTGAGAGACAATTTCTTAGATTATTTTTCTTCTGTACATTTTTAACCTACAAACTCTATCAAGATTGTTGTAAAACAGCCCTGGCAGGTGTGGCTTAGTTGGGCGTTGCCCGGTGCACTGAAGCATCGCACGTTTGATTCCCAGTTGGGGCACATGCCCAGGTTGTGGGCTTGATCCCTGGGAGGGGGCGTGCAGGAGGAAGAGATCCACGTTCCACTCTCATATGGATGATTCTCTCTCTTTCTCCCCGTCCCTTTCCTTTACCCTCTCTCTAAAAATAAATAAAAAATCTTTTAAAAAATTGTAAAAGTCTCAAATATGCACAGATCTAAATGTAGAGTTGGTCAAATTATATCCTCTAAGATTTAGGCGGGCAAATGATACTATCTACTAAAACACAGCTAACACACAAAAGGACTATCAATTCATATTTGTTGAACTGATTTTGGATACTAGTCCTTTTTACCAGTTACTAAGTATTTAAAGTCTTCCAATGTACTTTTCCAATTATTTCCTCATGACATGTGAGATTAATAAAAAGGGTTTTAATGAATAGATAAATAAGTACTAAGATTTAAAATGTCTTTCCCAAGATAAGGACAGTTACTCACCTAACGAATATTTATGAGTACAATGGTTAAGTCATGGAAGGTGGAAGGAGAAGGTGGTATGGAGAGAAGAGACACATAAGATTTATTTCTTTGAGGAGAGAAAGAACTCATAAACCAGCTTATACATAACTGGGCCATCACCATATCACTTTGTCCATTTTTGAAACAGGTAAAGAAGACAGAAGTTAAAAAGAGAAATACCTGTCCTTTCTTGGTTATTCCAATATATGTTCTGGGGTATAGTGATACACCGTCTCCACAATCCCATTGTGCCATTATATCGAAAAAGTGCATCAGTATAAGTCTTTTCATCTGCCTCATCACTAGCGAAGTCACTCCAGATGCTTTTGTTCAGATCACTGGAATTTTCTTGAACTGGACTTCGATATTCGTACCAGAAGTCTGTGCCAATTGAGGCTGCCATGTAGATGGTGGAAATGAGGCTAAGCACACAAGCAATTACAAATGCTGTAGCAAAACGGTTATCCATTCTGGCATTCAGACTGCTCTGTATAAAAGTTGAAGAAAAGTCAGACTCAAGGACAAATAAAGATTATTTTGAAAGAAATTATCTCAAAATTACCCTTTACTCCCCATCCTTTGGCTATTTAATGTCTACTCATTAAGGAGTTTGTTGTTGTTGTTGTTTTTTAAAAAACACACACACAAAACCACATGTTTTTAATTAAGTTCAAAACAAAAGTCATCATGAAAGTACTTATTGAAAGTTCACATACCCAGGATGCTACGGAGACAGAGGTCTTGTTCTCTAGTCTATCACCTGCACACTAAAACAGACAACACTGAAAAGGACATACACATTACAGATACAAACAACAGACATGCCCAGGGTCAGCAGCGCACCATGCATAAATGTTTAATCACAGGTTGAATGTTTACACCAGCTGCGGAGCGTTAAGCGCTCGGGGTCTGAGTGTGAAAAGGGCACAAGAAAAGGAAGCAGAGGAAATCCGCTCCTCCCGGTTTCCCCTGAAGAGGGAAACCTAGAAACAGGGCTTAGCGTCGGGAAGGCTGCGTTGAAGCTATCTGCGAACCCATAGAGGAGAAAGGCTGTTCCAGGTGCACAGAAGAGCAAGAACAACGTAACACACGATGCTGGGTGTCCGTCTGCCCCTAATCCGCTAAAGCTGAGCCCAGCTCCTTCACGCAGCCAAACCCTCCGCTCCTACCCACTCTCCCCATTCCTTATACTTCCGAACCTCATCTGCAAACTGAGTGATCTCTCTTCAGCCGTAAAGAAAACTCTGATTTAGACAAAACATGAACCCTCCCAAGGCGGGGACGCGGGCTCAGCGGCGGTAGTAAATGGCCGCAGAAAAATGACTCAAGGCGGATCCCGCTGAGTCAAATCCTGCAAGTAGGGGCAGCGACCGCGCCAAACGCCGCTCGGAGGGGCCCCCAAACAGGCTCGCCAACTGCCGCGACGGAGTTTGGGCGATGCGAGTGACTCGGGAGAGGTCAGGGCAATTTCAGTCATTAACGATAACTCCTGAAGTTGGGTCTGTATTTTTAGGCTTTTTAACCCTCTTTCATCGCGGGGCTTCCAAATGACCTTAAAGGGTCCCGGCG